CGTCGGCTTGGTGTGTTCCGGGCTTTATGGGTGTGGTGTGGTATGATGAGGATGAGTAGGCCTAATTCATGACAGAATTTTAATTTTTGGGTGAACTAACCCTTGATCCTCTATGGTCATTTCACAACAATCGATGACACAAAGTGCCGCCAGTTGCATTTGTGAATCAATCAAGAAAGCATGAATCTGCGAGTGATAGCCTACATGACACATGGGCTGTGTCCGCGAGCTGAAAAAAATACTGAGGTAGATAGCTGAGGTAGATAGAATACTGAGGCATAGCACGTCCGAATCCAATGAACATGTCACATCTTGTCTAGTATGTCTACTACTGAGATACCTTCATCTGATGGATTTTTGAAGGCAGCATAAATGTTGTTTCCATATCCAACAATCCTGTGCGTTGCATTCCGTGACAGTTGAGCTAAAAAAAAAAAAAGGCCTAATATGACATCTGAAAATTGGTGGTCAGTTTGTATGCATTTTTGACCTACCAACTTTTCCCAACTTCTATGTCATTTTCTAGAAAATTAATATTTTACCCAGAAATTAATATTATTGTAGTAGGCTAATTAAATATTAACTCAGGCATAGTTGTCACCAAAAAGGCTATATGCTGCGGCAGCTATGCCTAAGTGAATATTTAATTAGCCTACTAATTGCTGCCTCAGAAGTCTTTCTGAAATCAGTTTCGGTAGGCAACCGCTTATGCTACCTGTGCAGTCAGCTGCCTAACCTTGGGTTCAGCCGGAGTTCTTTACCCGGGCCATGTGGATTAGAACGAGTAGGGTAAACTACTATAGAGATAATTTTTTCAGTTGAAAAATTTTAATAACCCGTTAAAGATTAAAGAAGTATGCAACCATTTAAGATATTTCTTATTATATAGAGGATTTTTAGCGTGAAGGGTTCTTTAAAATTGAGTCAAGAACCCCATAGGGTTCAGTAGGCTATTGAACCCCCACTGAATGTTTTTTCCCCTGACAAGTGTACCATACCAGCTGTGTTTACTATTTTTTTTTTTTTTATTGCAATTTAATGGCAGGATATACAACATAAAGTAGAGTGTTAGAAATGTAAAAATATGAAAACACAACTTTATGTGAGATTTAACTGCTGAAATGTATCACTTTCTCTAATGAAAGTCTCTAATAAATCTTGACACGATTTTGAAGTACTGTCAATGTTATTTTAAATCTGTATAGCAGGAAATGTGTTGTTTAGGTAATTACTTGGCAACCCTTTAAATACCTTTCAGCTCATTCTCACACACACATTGCTCAAAGAGTCATTATTGATGAGTGAAAGGGAAGTGAGGGAGTCAGTCCTGGCATCACTGCAAAGCTGTTAGTGCTGGCTGAATGGAGGTGGGTGCACGGGATGCCTAATTGGTCCAGTGTGCATGTGTGCGAGCATTGGTGATAATTGTGGTTCACAGGTGGCCACAGTGGTGGCCTGTCCAAGCTTTGAGTTCATACCAGGGCCTGGGACAAAAGACAAAAGATTCCACGGCTCTTTGTTATTGACTGTGGTCAAAGCCCCTGGCCATTCCCGTGTCCACCTAAACATGAGTTCATGAGTCTCCCGAGTATCCTGAGAATTCAAACAAAGAACCACTGCAAAGAACGCAGTACTGATGTTAAGATCTCACAGCAATATTTACATGCAGAATAGTAACAGTATCTGAAGCTGATCTGACTGTGAGGTTTTCTACTTTTAAACAATGAAAGAATAATATTGAAATTATAAAGTGCATGAAAATAATGATAACTTGCGGAGTAAAACTAGTTCTTGTAATTGTTTCAACCGTCGAATGTAAGAATGCATTCACTGATTTCACATCAAAGCGATCTAGAACATTTTAGTTGCATTATGGCAAAAGTCCCCCAGTAAAACCTCTTTTGGCGCCTCCTATCAGATATTGTTATCAGATTGTTATCAGCAGAAATTCCTTAGATATGCCATTAGCATTGAGCATGCAGTCTCCCCAGGCATTACCCATCTTTGTTGACTAAAAGTCAAGCAACAAGTTGAAACAAGACGCCACACTGCCAAGTGGCATGTACCATCAAGATTTCCCTGATAATCATACTGAAATAGCTTGTCAGACATGAAAGAGTTTGCGTTAAAGCCTTGCAGGGTATTTTCTGGTGAGATCATCTTTCCGCAACATAGACCGAGCAAAAAGCCTGAGAGCGCAAGAAAGAACATTGAACATCGACTAAGTGAGATATCTATACATGGCAAACGAGTCAAAGCAGACAGAATATATTAGGGTATATGCAACATTGCATTCTCTTCAATTATGTAGTGCGTACCAAAAAAAGTATTTACAAAAATAACTGGTACAGAAGATGGGAAACAGATTTTGTCCAATTCTCGTATAAGCTTTCTCTCTTGGGCCAAAATCAAGTAGGTGGAGTTTCCAAGATTGGATTGACAAAAACAATGTGACATTCATGTCTGTTACTGCCTCGCTTGAGAGAGTGGGACTGAATGTCAGTTTACTGTGACATTCTGATGAAGATGCGGATCACACTTGGATAAAAGCCGTTTCACAAGGAAGTTCCCAAGCGTTTAAACACAGTGTGTGAACGAAACCAGACTGAGATAATAACTGCCATTAAGGTGTGCTGTATTGTGAGGTGTGTGCTTGTTTGGGACTCTGTCACCTAGTACTGTAATTATGTAACGTGAGGACTGGTAATCTATGACGTTTGGCTTATGGTATCACAGTAAAAGTTGACGCACAGAGAAAAAGAACAAATAGAGGTCAAATAGCTTTTGCAATGTGTGGTATGTTTGTAAGTAAAAACTTACATGCATAAACACACACAGAGACAGAGGGATTTAAAGTTGAATTGTTAAAACTTGACTGATGGTTTGCTGTGTGGATGTAATTTTTTACATTTTTTATATGTAATTTCCTAAATTTTTTTGTGGATGTGTTCGTGTGTGTGGGATTGAAGCCAGAGGGATGTTGTATATGGGCGGTCAATTAGTTTACCATTTCAGCTGAGACCAACTGGCTTACTGGAAAGTAACATAGGATCCTTCCCATTCAGCAGGCTTACCACCTCCAAGGTCAGACTCTGACTGTTTGTTTGTGTGTGTGGTACAGAGGGAAAGAGTTTTGTGATGGACTTCCTGCCCTGACCGCCAAAAAAAAAAAAAAAAAAAAAAACACACACACAGCCTAAAAAGTAAGAGCAAAACAGTTCTTTGCCTATAATTTTATAGTGCTTTCACATACACTTCTGTAAAAGTTTGGGGTCAGTAAGATTTTTAAAGAAGTCTCTTGCTTACCAAGGTTGTGCTTATTTGATCAAAAATACAGTGGAAAGTAATATTGTGAAATATTACAATTTAAAATTATACACTGAAAAAAATTTTTTTCAAGATATCACAATATGATATGTTATCACAACATTTTTTCTTTTGTCAAATCAACTTAAATAATTTATTTAGTTGAGATAACTTATTATTTTGAGTTTCTGATGATTAAATCAATCTCCTTCATTGTATTAACTCACTTTTTCCGGTTCAATCAACTTAAAATTTTAAGGCAACCAGGCTACTTACTTTTTTAAGTTAAACCAACAATTTTTTTTACAGTGTACATATGAAGAGTTCAGATGCAAAAGCCTCTAAATGCCATTTGAAATTTTCTTCTAAAATGACCATTTTTATCAAGCTTGTATATTTAAGTTCAGTAATTTCACTTAAATGACAATTAATAGGTAATCTTCATTGCCATTTAAGTAAAATCACTGAACTTAAATATACAAGCTTGATAAAAATGATCATTTTAGAAGAAAATTTCAAATGGCACTTAGAGGCTTATGCATCTGAACTCTTCATATGTTTTATACATGGTTTGTGGATAAACAAAAAGTTTAAACGAACTTCATTTATTTGAAATAGAAATATTATTAACACCTAACATTTGAACCGCGTTTGTATTGTTTGGCATTATGTTTCAAATCAGCAGATTCTCTGTGAAACATCAGATTGTTTTATGAATTTTTTAAATATTCACTATTCACTTCATTCATATTATATACTTAATACTCTATATTAATTATATTTATATTATATTATCCAAGACTCCTGCCTAACTCGAATTATTGGATTTTTGGATATCATTTATCATTCAGTCATACTACTATAAGAGCAACAGTATCTGCAGCAACAGCAGTGATAACATTAACATCTGCTCTGATGGAGACAATAGCTAGTTTTATATTGTAAATAAAGAGTCTGAACATTATAACATAATGGTTGTGCTAAACATTTGTTTATAATTAAATAACCTCTTTTCATTCTCGCCTCTCTCTCATTCCCTGTACACCCTTCTCTTAAGACATAATCCTAGCAATTTGCATTGTTTTTACCCCTCCGCTGTTTCTGCATGTAAAGGAGGCACTGGTGGGTACCTCCAGACTGCTGTGCTGACTGACCGTGAGACATATGTAGCAGCACAATGTCATCGGCACAACCGGGCCGCAGCAACTGCTATTCCCACGACCCACAGAAATACCTCACCGGCCTTTAGAGAGCACGGCAGCATGTGTCTGTCAGTCCAACGCAGAGCTAAAGCCCGTGTGAATTCCTTAACGTATGCTCAAATATACACAGATGAGCTTCACAGCTGCTCTTTAAAGGATTCGGATCATAGAAGAGAGGGCAAAGTCGTGAGCTCACTGTTCCTATTAGCATCCCACGTCTAATGATGCGTCCCATCAGGGCAGTAGGACAAAACAGAGCACACTGGGAACAATCCTGGACGTGCTATCTGAAGATGGTGGTGGCTCTGACATGTCAGGTAACAGTATAGTAACAGACAGGCTGATATTGCAGAAACTCAAATGCACATGATGTTCTTCACCAGCAGAGGGCGACACAACACTCATTCTTGAGCGGTTGAAGAACTTTTCATCTTTATCATACCAGATGAATTATGTAATTACTGATAGATAATGGAAGCACAAACAACAATATTTGTCTTTTTCATCAGTTTATTACTAAAATAGGTCTTCTGTAGGGTTTGTTTCACTTGGAGCTGGCATATTTTTGTATAAAGAGCTGACGGGTGTGGGTGTTTTTCAGGTGATTTTGCTTAGCTGAAGCGGACGCGGCGAATTGAGCCAACGGTGCTGTTTTGAGCACCCCAATCAGAGAAGTTGTTGTAGTCCTTCTTTTCTAGGACGTAATGGGCTCCTCTGTAGTTCGGCTCCTGGTACGCCACCCAGCTGTGGTCAGGAAAGAGATATTGGAAATATTTCATTTAATTTTTTTTTAAATTTGGTTTATCATTAACAAATGCACAATACAAACATTCAACTCATTATACATAACTTTTGATTAAACCAAAGGGTATAGGCTGAAGCTCAAGGCTTATTGACGCCTATCTCTCTCAATTTTTAACAGTTCTCTTCTCTTAGGCTTTATACAATTAAATATACATTTAAAAAAATGCACACAACTTTACTTTAACATCAGTAAACTTGTACTCACGTTCCGCCCATTACTCTGATGGAGGACACCCTGTTTAGGCTGTGACGGCTCATCAGGTTGGGGATGTCATCGTGGAGCTCTGTCTTCTTGCCTGAGAAACCTGCCCTCTCAAACAGCTGTGCACGGGCAGTGTTGTTGTCCTAGCCCATCAAACACACACAAACAAAATGAAAACTCCACGTTTATGATTTTCGGCTTTTTTTTTATTTAATTTTTTACATTCAATGAAAATGACAACAAACGATACTTTGGTATATTGTGAGAATATTGTTGTTGTTTTTTTTACTATTTTTGTCTTTTTGAATAAAACGCGTCTTACCTGTTTCACAGCACGAACAGAGGAGATATGGTCACCCTGAGCACACCACTTATCAGTGCAATTGTACTCCCCCCGTTCAGACATGTCCCACAGGTACTGACGCCCTCGGAAGTTCTCATGTTCGTATCCTACCCATCTACATATGAACACATGCCACAGTTAAAATCCAAAAATAGCTCAGTTGGCTTGAATTAGCAAAATGTCAGAAAAGTGATTTAATTTAGCTTAGAATCTTTTCAAAATATCGACTGAATCAAAATGTGAAGTAATCATTAATGTTAGATTTAATAAAGGTCAAGCTAGGTCTTGTGATATAAAACTGCCATGTACTCACGCTCCACTCTCCACCTGGACAGAGTTGCATCTGTCGGGAAAGTTTTTATCACTCAGTTTCTGACAGTCAGAGGTCAGGTCCAGTCGCCGACCTGCAAAGTTCCTCTGCTCGAAAAGGGTCACCTGAAAAACACAACTAATGTTAAAAAACCCCACTTGAAATATATACACATTCATTTGAAGTATTTAAAAATCACAACAGGATTTAAAAGAAATTTTGGAGCATTTATGAAACTAGCTACTTTTTTTTAGCTAATTTTCCAAATGATTTTTCCTAAAAACACCAATTAATCTGTATGAGAAGCGATAAAAAGAGTAAGACTGATATATTATCCATCAGCACCAAACTCAGTGCAGGAAAGCAAACTCTTACCCTCCCACTGGACCCGTAGAAGGCACGTTGGAGCACAGACCCCAGCTTGCTAGGGGGAAAAAAGTCCAATACTCTTAGGATTTTTTCCAACAGAGAACACATATACAACAAGATTCAATAAAAATATGCCATAATAGAAGCTTTTTGAACTGTCAACATTTAAATTAAAGTTACATTTGATTTCTTCCATGACAATGTATGCGTGAAACAAATCAGTTTGCCAATTAGAGCATAACAGTATGTTGTTTCAGGGCTTTCCTAACCGCATGGATGTGATCCGAACTACATATGTATTCTCTTCAACAAAACTGCAATGAGTCACGGTCGGATGTTGGTCTGACTTTTATATGACTTTTACTAGCACTCTTGAGAGGTGCAGATCTGGTTGAAACTCAGTCCACAAAATTTGGTGTTGTACTTATTTCCAAATGCACCGCAAACATACCTGGTTTGTTGGGCTAGTCCGGGGACCTTAGTGAAGATGTTCATGTCAGCTCATGGTGGCCACTAAGATGGTCCTTAAATACAGCAGGTACATAGAAACAGGGAGTGCTAGAATGCTCATACTCTTTCTGCTGCTCTCTCTGTAGTCGGTCTGTGTATTGATATGCTAAACACATACAGTTTGCTATGTTTTGTCAAAGCCTTCAGCCATATGTGCATACAGAAACTCAAATGCACACACATACAGTACAAAAGCTTAGACATACAAATCAGTAGCCCATGCAAGACAACACGCATGTTCACATGATAAACCAACATACATTGAACAAATTATGGTCAGATAAATCAAAACTTTCTAAAACAATTCAGCATTCTTTTCACAGTTCATTTACAATGCGTTGTGCATGTTGTAACTATTCGTGTTTAAACTGGAGCAGCTACTGTATATGCTGAAAAAAAAAAAAATCGAAATTATTTTCACAGAGAAATTACTAGTAATATACAAAAACAATGCCATTTTGATTAAGCAGAAAGACTGAAATCGTATTTTCACGTAAAATGTACTCCAATAATCTTCGTCAGATCTTGTAACAAATATTTTAGTGTAGAACATTTTTTTGATGCATAAAGAAATGACACAATTACAGCCACATTGTGGCAACCAATCATGAATTTATATAATATTGGTCTATACTGATTATCCAGTCAGAACTGGATTCGTATTTAAGTAAGGGATAATATTTTATATATTACAATATTATTTTATATATATTATATTTTGCATTATAAAAGAACATTATACATTATTACTAATATGTAATATTACTCGATAGAAAATTAATCCGACATTGCCTTTTTATATATAGTCCATTGGTTCAGAATTTGATTCAGAAATGCTGCTGATTAAAGTCAACTTTTTTTTCATAGCATAAACATTTCTCCTTTGGGGGCCAAAATGCAAATGTATCACCCACACCAACATCAACTTGCTTACAGAGACAAATGTTCAATTCTATAAAACATGTTAGGAGCAGCACTTTTCCCCTCTCAGCCCATTGAATTTGAATAGTGGGTATTTGGGCCTGTGTGTGGCTCCTGAATGGAGCTTGGATCCACTAGATGCTTCGCTACTGTTTTGTGCGTGCGTGCGCACAGACACTGGGCAGCTTTGTGAGGGTGAATGAAGTTCAGAAGCTTTGGTAACCTTCTGGCACTTTGGAGTGGATTCCAGTCAGGACAAATGTGAGGCCTGGAGCAGGTATACATGTATATGTGCTTGAGTGTGAATCTAGATTGAGGGAGAGGGTGAGAGGAGGGAGAGGTAGAGAGACACGAGACAGGGCAAAGCTGCTGGTTCCGGTGAAGAGAAGGGAGTGTTTTAATCACCTTCTCATCCTCTCTCCTTCAGATAGAAACTCACATCTCCTCTTTTCAGGATAAACACTTTTGAGATGTCTTTCATATTGGCAGCTCTTGACAAACTGACTTATTTTTTGTCTATGATAGCCTTTTGTGTCAGTTTGTATTATAGCTGGCTGAAATGAGAGTTAATTCATCCGATCTGATCTGGGTTTGGAATTTTTTCTGACATTTTAGGCGACTGCACGTGGATTGTGACAGCTTTTTAGTTTGGGATGCATCATTGATATGCCTCTGCTCCTGAACTGACCACTCAGTGAGTATGTTTTCTTATTTTAGAAATGAGGATAACTGATGTGAAGTTTCTCCATATATACCTGTTTAAGAATAACTGCAAGAATAAAACATTTTCGAAGATGTGCCTGTAAGTAAAATGAGTCTGTTTTATATGTCCAGTTGTTACTGGTAAAAAACAAACTCCTATGAGAATAAGAGGATGCCACAACACAGTGTGCTGAGGATATGCCGCATTCTGCTACTGGTACCCTGCATTTTTTCCAGCGAGGACTTTGACTGGACCAAGAACGAAAAGGGATCATTTCAGTATGGAACATTTCCTTCAGGTAAAGCATTACTCATTAAAGCATGTGTTCTCACGTGTTCTCTTTAAGCTCAAATATTAAAATACATTTAAGTATGCATCTGGTTGATTTTTTTTATATTTTATATTGTTTGCAGCACAGTAAAAATAAAGTGATTAAAGTAGGTAAATAAGATTGTAAACTATAATCCTTTTTTAAAATAAAAAATATAATTAAAAACAAATTCATAAAAAAATGTTTTATATAAAATTACATATATAACTTTATTGAAATCATTCATTTTCATGATTCTATATAAATGAATGCATATTGCATATACAAACATACAACAACAAATAAATATATATATGTATATATTATAAATTATTAATTAATTACCTACATGATGTGCAAATTAATTAATCGCAATTTAACCGCACATCAATTTCGGCTGAGAAATTACCCCCAAAAGATTATTTAAAGTCATTATTGTGTTAAATGAGAAAAACATCAAATAGACATTACAAAAAGTAGTTTTAGTAAGAAATATTTTATATGATACCCAAACTTTTAGGCTACAACGGCCATTATTTATTTATCTTTTTCAGAAGCTGCATCTGAATTGGTATTTAGATATTATATATTTACAGACCAAAACAGTTTGGTTACAATCATTCTTAAAAATATCTTCTTTTATGTTCCACAAAAGAAAGTAAGACATATAGGTTTGAAACTACACAAGGGTAAATGGAAATAAACAGAATTTTCATTTTTGTGTAAACTATCCCCAAAATATATATATTTTTAAAATAAAATGATCCTCTATATAAGAAACTAAAACTGTCAGTAGGTAGCGGTAAATTTATAAATGAAGAGGTTATTGAGTCGTTCATTCATCCGATTCGTTCAAACGGCTGATTCATTCAGTGATGAAGTAAATGCATATGATGCTTTCGCTCAAAATGTGGATGCTTTAGAAATAAAACACTGCTGTGTGTTGCTCGGAGACGCACAGCACAGTTCGGGTTGTACAGGTAATATTTTCATTGGAAAAATGACAATATCGTGTCTCAAATGACACAATATTAACCTCCTATTTACTGTTTAAACAGCACTTGTGTGATGTTGCACGTGTTACGATAGCCATATGAAACAATTATGAGACAAAAAACAGATCTTAGGGGCTTTCTAACTGCATTCTAGGCTCCATAACACAGTGAGTTGTCCAATCACCAATCAATCAACTATGAAATAAATGTAAAATGTCATACGTAGGTCTGACTTTCTCCATAGCTAATTAATTAAATATACACATTAAATTGACAGCCCTAATATACAATATATCATTTTTTATAAAAAAAAAATTAGCAAAGTGTGCATGTATACATTTTCAGGATTCTCTTGGGGTGCTGGCAGTTCAGCATACCAAACAGAGGGAGCATGGGATAAAGATGGAAAAGGAAAGAGCATCTGGGATGTGTTCTCCCACAAGAGAGGGAAAATAGACCGGAATGACACTGGTGACTCATCCTGTGATGGCTATTATAAAATCAAGGTGCTATGATTAACTTTATCAGAAATGCACAATGACGTACAGTATGTAGACACTTTGGTTCTAAGAGTTGTTTAATGTATGTTTTAGGATGATGTCTCACTGATGAAAGACATGAAGCTGAACCACTATCTCTTCTCCATCTCCTGGCCAAGGATACTGCCCAGTGGCATTAAAAGTAATTAAAATGAATGCTAAAATGAAGAATGTAATATTTTACTAGAGTTATAACCAAACATTTTTTCCTGATTGTCTTTTAGCTGACTACATCAATGAGAAAGGGATAGAGCACTATGATAACATGATTAATATGCTTCTGGAGAACAGAATCACGCCGATTGTGACCCTCTACCACTGGGACTTACCTCAGGTAAAACAAAATCCTCACTGAGGAAGACAATAATCGCATACTGACTAGTAGGTACTACATTTAGTTTGAAACGTACTTCACAATTATTAAAAAGTATCTTCTCTATAGTATGAATATGGGTAGTATAAATTAAACTTTGGGTGTCCTACTGTACATCTGCCATGTTGTCACTGTCACGTGACCTACCAGCGTCACTTCTCTGTCATTCACAAATCATCTCCCGTGGCCTTATGGGATAGTAAAGTGTCCTTGTGATGTACACTTTAGAATCATGCCATATATAGCAAGTCATCTGGGTACTTTTTCCTGTACTGTTTTATGAATAATACTGTGAATTTATATATATTCGTCTCCCAAATACTACTCTACTCGTTACCCCCCTACAGCTTACAGGGACACAGCACAGGGAATGACTCTGAAACTCTGAAATATATTTACAATTAGAATATCACATCTAAAGAGTATATATCAGTATACTTCAATTTGATTTAATTTTCAAAATACCTGTCCAGGTTCTAGAGGAGAAATATGGAGGTTGGCAAAATGAAAGTATGATCAACTTCTTCAACGATTTTGCCAACCTGTGCTTTGAGAGATTTGGCAATCGAGTCAAATACTGGATCACCTTCAACAATCCTTGGGTAAGAAAATTTTCATTTTTATTATAGTATTATAATCATTACATTATAATTCCAAATGATTAAAAATGTAATCATCATAATATATTTGTCATGCGAATTTCAAGTAACTTGGCCTTTCTCTAAAATCAAACAATTGTATTGTATTGTACTGTTTTTTTCAAATAAAATAAAAGCTGGTAATAATTCCTGTCAGGGACACTTTGACTTATATGAGAAAAAAACAGTTCATTATCTGGTTCAAATTCCATTCTTACACTTGCAGTAAAGATTCCTCCCATGTTTCTAGTCTGTTGCAGTAGAGGGTTATGAGACTGGAGAACATGCTCCTGGTCTGAAGATGAGGGGTACTGGTGCCTATATTGCTGCCCACAACATCATTAAGGTGATCAAAACCCACCGCAGTCCACTGTAGTCTAATAACCCTAACAAAAGAACAACATAATTCATACGACAAGTTATCAATGCAATCCAATTTGCTGTAGTTATAACATCGGTGTCGGTTCTACTCATTTTAGCTGTACAAATATTATGCAGCTATTATACTTCTTGATGTTGCAATTTGGTTATCATAATCATAAACAGCGTTTTGTAGCACAAATAGTTTTACCGTTTACTGCGCTTTGTTATTCTTCTAGTTATCTACCTATAGTGGCTTACTTAACTGCAAAATAAGGTGGATACTCTTAAACCAGAAAATGCATATGGATAGCAGACAAAAATGCTAAATATAAATGATAAAACACAAATGATCATATAAGCGTGCATGTAGGGATAGCAAGCCATTCCAAAAAGACTTATCAACTATTAAAACCACAGTTCATTTGATACAAATTCAAATTAAATGATCTAAAGCTCACTTTTACCATTTGCTGCACTGACAGGCTCATGCTAAGGTCTGGCACACATACGACGCCCAGTGGCGAAACAAGCAGAAAGGTAGACGCATTTCAGATTCTGAATTCAGCTTGTCCTATCAAGGCAAAGGTCCAAACTAGTACAAGTGTTTCTGCCATTTCAGGTATGGTGGGCATCTCCCTGTCAGCCGACTGGGGAGAACCAGTGGATGTCACCAATCAGAGAGATATAGAAGCCGCTGAAAGATATGTTCAGTTCTACTTGGGATGGTTTGCCACGCCACTCTTTAATGGAGACTATCCTCAAATAATGAAAGACTACATAGGTAAGTGACAAACCGCAAATAAATAGAAAAAGGGGTAGTGATAATTTACATACATACGTATTTCAGAAGTATTTTCTGTTTTATTTCTGCAGGTAGGAAGAGTGCCCAGCAGGGCCTGAGTAGCTCTCGCCTGCCAACTTTCAGTCCTAACGAGAAAAGTTTCATCAGAGGCACTTGTGACTTCCTTGGCATCAGCCACTTCACCACACGCTACATCACACAAAAGAACTTTCCCTCCAACCGTGGAAACAGCTACTTCACTGACCGTGACCTGGCTGAGCTGGTGGACCCACAGTGGCCTGACCCTGGATCAGAGTGGCTCTATGCTGTGCCGTGGGGCTTCAGCCGTCTGCTCAGCTTTGTAAAGGTACATCAACACATCTCTGTAAACATCTTTTCAACAACTACTTCCGGCCAGTTGTTTTACTAGCACATTGGTGGCTCATATATCTTTTTGTATACTTAGACACGGTATGGAGACCCCATGATTTACGTGACAGGAAATGGAGTATCAGAGAAGATGATGTGCACAGAACTGTGTGATGACTGGAGAATGCACTACTTCAGGGATTACATAAATGAAATGTTGAAAGGTCAGAATCAATAGAGAAATCTATGCCTTCCATAGTTAAATACTCTTAGACCAGTGGAGCTCAACAAAGGGGCCAAGGCCACAGTATGACTTGGTATTAAAAATTATTTACTTAGTCTCTCCCCTCCCTATTAACAAATAATTCAAACTAAAATATAAAAACAATTTGCATCTATATTTAAAAAATTACCAAATTTGTTAAATCCTTAGAATTACTAAATTCATTATGTTAATTTAATCAATGCTACCAGTTTTTGCTAATAAAAGAGCTTTAAAACAAGCAGCATTGTCATAATTAAAGAAGAAATACCAGAGAAAATCTCTTAACCATTAATGGGGCTTATGAATATTGTAAAAGGGGGGACCTTCAAGTTAAAAAGGGTGAGAACCATTGTCTTAAACTAGATTTAATAAAATGACCCATTCAGAACATGCCAATCTAAATTTACAGAAACTTTATTACTGATTGACCATGTCACTGCTTTAGGTCTCTAAAAATTCAATATCAATCAGAAGAAATAAAAGATTGATTGATAAATAAAGGATTGATTGATTGAAAATGCTTTCAAACGTTTCTAGAGCTTCAAATAATTTTGCTCTTCATAAAATGATAAATAAAACCAATTCAATCAGTGAAAGGAACCTTTTTGTTTTTTTACTTCTATTTCATTCAGCGGTTAAAGATGGAGTTAATGTGAAAGGCTACACAGCTTGGTCGCTGCTTGACAAGTTTGAGTGGGATGAGGGCTACTCTGAAAGATTTGGCCTGTACTATGTGGATTTTGGGAGCAAAAATAAACCACGCTACCCAAAAGCATCAGTTCAGTACTACAAGCGCATCATCAGCTCGAATGGTTTCCCCAATCAGAGAGAGGTATGATGTCATCGGAAATACAGTGTAATATAATGCTAATTTAATGTTAGTTCATCAATGTTAGTGCAATCTGTGTGACGAACTTTATATTGTGTCTCAGTTCACATCTTCTGCAGTTTTTAAGTTGGATCATGTTTCCCACAGATTGAAAGCTGGAAAAGAATGGCTCTGGAAACATGCACCTCAAGTAACCAGCTCCTTGCGGCAGGTTAGTGTAACTGTTGCTGACTTCACTCCCCACTAGGCAGCACAACCAGCAGTGATCTAGCTGGGGCAAATAAAAGAAAATTCTGTCTCAAATTACATTTTCTATTTGTAAGCACATTATACAGAGAAATAAAATTATAAATTAATATTTTTTTATTAAATTAACTTTCTAACAGGAATTTTCTTTTGTTTGCCCTTCCAGCTAGAAGAAAATCCAAGGAAAATAAGGAACATGCAGATATGCCAAAGGTTTGGCCTGTGCATGATGAAGTTTAGGTACAGGGCCGAAATATTGCTATTTTTGGAGGTTGGCATGTTTCACATGTTCTCTGACCAGTGCTAGTGTTGCATATTTATGACTTACCTGTGTGTGTTTTTCCAGATCCACTGATCAGCCACATGGAGATGGTCACAGAGATCGTCGTCCCCACTGTGTGCACTCTCTGCATTCTCCTCAGTGCAGTTTTTCTCATGTTTCTGCTGAGAACACGAATATTAAACTGACTGCCTCACATTTAGACGACTATATTTATTTTTCACATTGCATGTGTCCCAGCATTTCTCTTTTTTATTGATTATTATGAATAATTATGATATGCAGAGACTTGTTTATATGTACCTTGAAATAAAATGGTCCACAAATGCACTTCTGTGTTCATGAATTGTTGGACCATCCAAACATCTCTCAACAAATTACACAGAGGAGAAGTTGAGGTTTGAGTGTTGAAGGATGAGGTGAGAAAGAGTTTCTGAAACTTTTTGAAAGCAATTTTGTATCTCTTTTGTATGTGAAAAACAATCAATAAATACGATTAGCACTATAATAAATGTGTCTGTAAAACTTCAAAATACTAAAATTCAGTGATTCAACAACCAACCACCTAATACTGAAATACATTGCAGTGTAAGATCCACCTGTAGCCTAGGAGATTTGTGCTTTCAATAAAGTTTGAAACCGTGAATTATAGGCTATATCTTTTGTAATAGTTTGGTGTGTCTCTGTCTACATCGGTAATATCTCGCAAAACAACTGTTAAGTGAAATCTTTAAACAAAAACAAAACCACAGTCGCGTATAGTAAAAGAATTTAGCTACGACGAACCGCTAGCCAAACATCAGACTTGTTGTCGGGGCTCTCCGAGCCTGTAGATGTCGCAGTTCTCATCAGTTTTCAGAAATCTGATTGGCTGAGCCGCGGAAGCTGACCGCCGGCAGAAACTTTGGTTCAGCAGTGACTGTATCAATGTCCTCGTGCGGCAGTCGGTGTTGAAGTTTCGTCCTTTGACAGCACATACTCAGTAAGTTTGACGGACCGCACTTATATTCAACTATTCACTGAAATTACAGTGACATCGTTTGGGCTTGATATCAATGGGCGAAACTAAGGACGTCGTGCGTGTTGTTGAATCTTTATGGTGTCTGGCGCCAAATTGCTGGGACAGTAACATCTTGTACAACTTGTTCAATTGTACAACTGTCATACTAGTGTGATGAGAATAACTCCCAATAACAGAATCATGTGACATTGTTTTGTACTGTATGCATCTTTCATACGTGTAAACCGTTTTAAAGTTATCTCAAACATACTGCAAAAATTAGGGTATTTTCATCACTACAATCATTGTTCAACATTTTTAAGTTTCACTAAGATATAGATTAAACGACGTGAACGTTTCTGCGACATTAACGTTAGAGCTAACGTGATAACTAACGTTAGTGGAGAAGGTTATGATTGATTTTCTGTTTGTAAACAACTCGCTACACCATTCTAGCAAGGCTACTCATACAATATGTATGAGTACACCAAAAAGTGGTGACATGAGAGGTTGTTTCTAACAACTGTAGATTAAAAATATTAACAAAGCTAAATAATTATTATTATTAATGAACAGCACTTTATTTAGAATGTAATGACATTTGATATAATGTTAGTATCTTACCATATTACCCAGACTTTAGACAATGATACTTACTGTTTGTTTATTGTTTAGAAACACAGAAAAGAGGAAAAAAGAAACAGCTGATGTATCTGATCTTAATTTATGTGAACACTACTAAAGTTAAAATGAAGTTCTGTTTATGTTCTAGAATTCATCATTCTCCTATCCCTCTACAGGATCCTGTGCACCATGACTGATCCAGAAAATGGCCTGTTTGACATCCCAGATTATGAGCACATAGAGGACGAGACTTTCCCTCCTTTTCCTCCTCCCTCATCGCCTGGTCGGCAGGACCTTGGGGAGGATGCTTTTGGCAATGGAGAGGGTCTGTTAGGCTGTTTCTTATTCTTAACCATTTTAAAAATTTCAGTGGGATTTTTCTTTTTCACTTGCTGCTTTGGTCATGTGAGCTGGTCAAATTCTCCATTCTGTTTTCCTATGCTGCATAATTCCTGACAGTAGTTATTTAATCCTTAACTACCTGTCAGCACCAGCCACTGGCAGATCATCTGACCTCTCAGCAACAAGAGTTTTGGCAGATTTTGTGTTGCGCTCCTTCCTCTCTCGCTCCAGCGAATTACATACATTTATTATTGTACATTTGTTCATATGATTGTGTTGTTTTAGAGGTTTTAAAAATTAAAGCAGTCAAATATCTTTGATCCGACTGGTTGGTTACTAACGCTTACACTGGCCTCTCAGTCCAGCCAGACACTATAGCGCTCAAAGTTTGATGCGTGCCCTACCACTCTTGTTTCGAGGGAGTAAATATATAAATATTGTGAATCTTTTCTTATTGATCTATTTTTAACATGATCAACATTTTGGGGAGGTTTATCCTAAAAAAATTTTTTTAAATGACTTTGATCCTGACTGGCCTCTCAGTCCAGCCAGCTTCTGCTGTGCTATACAAATTTAACGCTTTCCTGTTTAACTCTCGCTGCAAGGGAAAATAGTGTTTTATTGTTATTAATATATCCTTATGATTAACATATTCCTTAATATAATATTTTAGAGACATTAATCCCTGATGAAAGTAGCCCAGACACTGTTAGAGCTGTGGGTTTGACTGTAACAGTAATTGTAATTTAATCGGTAATCAGTTTAATCGGCTGAAGATTGAACCCCCACTTGATATTCATACTCTACATAGTAAAAATGTTTTGAGTTTAATATGTAAATAAATCCCATTTTGTTGTGTGTTCAGGTGAGGATGAAGGAGAAGTGTCAAAACTAGCAGAAGTGCCAGTGGCAAAAAGACGAACGGTGAAGAGGCCTCGGCCGAAACTGGATGCTAACAGGTACTGCACCAGATGGCAGTTAATAATAAGGTTAATTATTTGTTTATTTTAGCAGACAGAGTATGACTTTCTCTGGTGTTTATAGTTCTTCTCTTTCCCTCTCTTTTTTCTTTCAGGTTGATTTCTGAAAAGGGTCTCCCAGCTCTGCGTACTTTATATGATGATGTAAAGTTCAAAGGCAAAGGACACGAAGTAATGGCTAATCTTTCACTTAAACTCATAAATTCTACTGAATTCTTTGTTATATGATTACAGATGCAGCTGTTCTAGGAATGTTTTTGTGTTTACAAATGAATCAGAGTGATGTGTGAATACAGTTATCAGTGCTCATACCTCTTCATTCTTTTCTGATTCAGGCAGAGAATCTGAAACTCCTCATGCAGAAAATAGAGAACTGGGCCCATCGCCTATATCCTAAAATGCAGTTTGACGAGTTCATTGATAAAGTAGAGAGTCTGGGAGGCAAAAAAGAAGTTCAGGTAAGACTTCTGGCTTTACTAATCATTTACTTATCTTCTGGCTTTACTTTATCTGAAGGAAAAGTCTAGATCACTTTTCACCCAGGAACTGTTCACAAAGGAGGCGTTCTTTGTGGATGAGCCGGGACTTTAACTCGGCTGCCTGAAGCACTGTTACGCAAATCTATACTATATATAGCAATCTATGCACTTTTAACTGTTACTCTATGCACACATGCACTAAACAAGTCTTATTTTTCTGTTACACCATGACTGGTACATTTTTAATATACAATGTGACATTTAAGTTACAAGCTATTTCTTTTCATTTAGCATAAGAACATCCTGTTGTGAACACCTCCTCAGACAATTAATCCAGGAAGAGTTTGAAAACCATTAATATGTGATATTTTACATCCTTAATAGACATTGATTGCGTCCTTTGTTGATACTGTTCTTTGTTTCTACTTTAGACATGTCTAAAACGAATTCGATTGGACATGCCAATAACACACGAGGACTACGTTGGTAATGATACTTTTCAAATCTTGGCTGTCTTACGCTACTATTGAAAGCAATAGGTAAAATTGAAGTTTCACTGACTTCCTACTCCCCTCTAGGGGAGGCAGAGGTTCAAGTCCCAGAAGAGTCTGATCCAGCTGGAGACGGAGTTTTCCCTGAAGATCCGTTCGTCCATTCTACTCCTGCTCCAGCCTCTCTCACCGAGGAACAGCAACGGCGCATAGAGCTCAACAAACGGCTCGCTCTGGAGAGGAGACTTGCGAAGCAGAAAGAGTTAGGTGTGTGGAGCCATTTGATATATGGCGTGATGTCGAGTTATGATCAGAATGCAAGCATTTGCCTCTAGTCCTGGGAAAAACCTGGGTCCACTGTGATTACAATTATTCATTTTAAGAATCAGTTGCCTCATTTTTGTTTAGCATTTTTTGACCATTTATTTAAAGAATTTGATATTTTTATTTTCACAGAATCTTCTCAGAATTCCATCCAGGGAGATGCAGATGAACCTTCCACCAGTTCTTCAGGACAGTACCCCGTTCAAGAGAATCTGGAGATTTCTAATCAGAGCATCTCAAACCAAACTCCACTCAAAGAAAAGCCAGCTGTACTTCAGAATTCCCCTTTAAATGATAACGAGGATGCCAGGCCTGTTTCAAATGGCATAGTTGATGATGACGATGATAGCAATTGAACCAAATCTCCATGTTTGTACAAAGAGGACTACAAATAAATTGAGGATGTTTTCGGGAGTAGCAGCTAATTCGGTCGAGCGTTTTTACATTTTAACCTTATAAACTCATACCAGTCATATGCCAGACATTTTCTGCATGTTTTGTATTGTCAACCAGGGATTGATCATCACTAATGGTCTTTCAAACACATTGATTGAGTTCAGCTTGCTTTTTGTCATATTATCTTTTATCCTCTGTGAGGATTTTGAAATAGTTTGCCTGTATTCAAAACTTTTTCCTTAATCTCTTCCTCAGGTTCTTTGGGAATCACATTCCATTTTTGCAAATAATCTTAATTAGCACCATTTCATTTATTGTTATCTAAAGTTAATTAAGGGGGGGGTCAGGTCAGTTTGTTGTCACAAAACTGTTATTTTCAATAATGCTGGTCAATCTTCAGTGTTTCAGTGTCAATTGTTTTGATTTTCTGAATAAATATGTTGATGTAGCACACCCTTTATGTATGATGTAATTAATGCAGTTCTATATTTTGAAGCGAGATTAAAGGCTGGAAAACATTACAAAACTTTTAAAATCTAAACAAATCACTATAAATGATTAAAGAGAAAAACTACATTATTCACTACCAGACTTTGAAGTTGTTATGACCACAGCAAACTCGTGCAGAAATGTGCTTCTTGTTGTCAGGAGAGGCATAAGAAATGAAAACAATGTTTTGAAAAGTCCGCACGTCATAAACTACATGATTTTCTGTGGGCCCTGTCAACTCCGACTGACCAAAATCTGCAGACGGGCTCTGACTTTCGACTACTGTTGTCAACTCAAAATATGGATAAAAGTCATGTAGCGTATTCAAGCCTTTACTGGAGACAAGTGTCTCGCAATTTGATTGTGTAGCATCAAAGGAGAAAATAAAAATAGACTGTGAATCATTACTGACATACAAAAATACATTTTATTTCTAAAAATATTTTACATTTTTACATGATAAAAATTGAAAGCATTAATGAAAACATCGTGGAAGTCTTTTCAAAAATATTGTAGGTTATTATTCTCATTTGCCTCAAACTGGTTTACAGAATTTCAAGAAAAAAAAAAAGGCCCATGTAAATCGTATGCTATTATTTGTGATCTTATTCTAGATTAATCATTTTGAGAAATAATCTCCAATTATGAAATGAAGTATTGGACAATGCAAAGGAGCCAGGGTTCATAAATCCTGAGTAGCAATAACTCTTGTTTGATATTCACATCTGGACACTTCAATGAAAGTTCATGGCAGGTGTAAATCTGGCAAATATAACAAAACCATCCCTAAAGCCTTCTGTGTAGAGTATTGTGTCTAATCAATTTCAGTAACAGCAAGTATAAAGCTAAGAAGATGCAATACAAGTCTGTTCCTCAGTATTTCTGATTTGGCATAAAGACAGATCCAGCAGGGCAAGTTCACTGACCTCCTGTAACAGGACATAGAGGTTTGGTGTTCTGCTCTGTCTGAACTTCCTCTCCTCCCTGCTCAGTTTGGACTTCCTCCCTTTCTCTTCCTCTGCCTGGAGAGAGGCCTCTTCTGCCCAGCGCACCACTTCCTGAACCAGCTCAGACCGACCTCGACCAGCTGGCTGGGACTCAGGTTGCACGGCGCAATGAGGCTTGTTCCTGATAAGCTGCAGACACAAGCTGTCGGCATGGCAACGAGATGGTTCTACAGAGATACGAACCTGTGGAGGAAGATAGACACAAGATGAGTTCAGAGGATGCAACAAGCAAATATCTATGACAGTCCAAATAAAGGTACCACAAAGTTGTTTGCTAGGAATTTACTAACTGTAATGTGGTCGAAGAGGTAAAAGGTATGAGTTCCAGTGCTGGTACAGGTACTGATCCTGTCAGGGTATCTCTGCAATGTCCCAGCCTTCCACTCGCATCTTCCATCTTCATCGACGCTGACCACATGACCCTCTCGATTCTTAAGGTACACAGCTCCCTTCAAACCATACCTGTGTGAACAGGTTTCATGATGTGTTACAGCAGCTTGACATAAAACATCATGTCCAACATTTAAGAGCTATTTTTGGTGTACACTACCATTCAAAAGTTGGGGTCGGTAAGATTTCTGAATACATTTATTCAGGATGCATTAAATGAATCAACAATGAACACTTTTACAAAAGATTTCTATTTCAAATAAATGCTGTTCTTTTAAACCTTCTATTCAAAGAATCCTGAAAAAAAAACGTATCACAGTTTCCACATAAATATTAAGCAGCACAACTGTTTTAAACATTGAGAATAAAAGGAAATGTGTCTCGGGCATCGAATCATTATATTAGAATGATATCTGAAGGATCATTTGACACTGAAGACTAGAGTAATGATGCTAAAATTCAGCTTTGCTTCACAGTCATGAATTACAGGATACCTCTTAGGTATTGCTCCAAAAAAGGTCACTGACAGGCATGGGTATACCTCTTCCCGTCATGGCAATCTGTCGCGCTGGTCATGTTTGACCATTTGTTTGACAGGCGTAGTAACAATAACTAGGGGGTGTGGCTTTTGTGAACGGTCAATTAGTTGCTGCTGAAGTTGATCTGACTTCAACTGTCCTCAACGCCCAAACCATTCAAGACGCACCGTGCCACCCTCGCCGGAGCACGGTGGTGTAAACTCACAGAGATTTATTTAAAAAATTTGAATTAAATAAAAATCTATCCATTCCAAACGTTAAATGGTAGTGTATAACTTTTTTCTTTTAATATTTTGTCTACACCATGTTCAAAACAAAGAAATATTCCATAAATGAGTCATTACTGTGGTACGAAGGCAAGAAAACCATTAGCTCGGACACCATAGATCACTGCATCAGCCACACAGCGCTCATCTGTGTTGGAGTCTTTATCTCTAAAGTAGAGGCACTGGAAGAGCTCTGTGGACTGCTTCTGTGCGTGCTGCGCTGCCTGTCACACAAAAACAGAGTTTGAGAAGTGTTGCGGTAATTTCCCACAAAAAATATTTTACTGCTAAAACACTGACACAAAATCCAATGACCTCACTTACTCTGTTTTTATTGTTGATTTGTTGAGCCAGCTCCTCAAGTTCTTTGTTACTGGCCAAAGCTTTGCTTAGTGATCCTTCCTTTTCCGGCTGAACGGCAGCCATGAGCAGCCGGTGAACTAATACATCAGCATAGCGTCTGATTGGAGAGGTAAAGTGAGTGTATCGATCCAGTGCAAGCCCTGAAAACAACATGAACAGCAAAACATGACGGCTTCAACCTTTTACTTCTAGCAAGCAAATATACCAAAATGTCACCATGTCTATGTAGGTTTTAAATCATGGTAGAATTTATTGCTATAAAAATGAAAACTCTGTTTAACATCTGTAATTTGTAATATTTATATCATAAATAATGAGAGAATGAAAAGCATTTACCATAGTGATAGTACTGTTCCTCAGGACAGGCTCCTGTAGAGAAGTAAAGGGCATTAGACATTGCCTGTGTGGCCATCATTTTCAATAACCTGTTCACCAGGGGGTCCTGAGGATCCACAGCTCGCTCCAGAGAATCAGCCAGAGCCCTGTTTGACCTAGTTTAAACAATGCAGACAGACACATGAATATGCATGCATGTATTGATTTAATTATACTTACTTCTATTTGTACTATTATATATATATATATATATATATATATATATATATATATAGTTTGGGGTCAGTATTATTGAAAGAAATTAACACTTATTCATCAAGGATGCATTAAATTGATCAAAAGTGACAGTATAGATCCATAATGTTACAAAAGATTTCTATTTTGAATAAATTATGTTCTTTTGAATTTTCAAAGAATCCTGGGGAAAAAATATTCACACTTTCCAAAAACACTTTTAGCAGCACTGTTTTCAACATTTATAATAATAAGAAATGTTCCCATTGAGCAGCAAATCCAGTGTCACAAATCATGTGACACTACAGACTGAAAATGTAGCTCTACCATCATAAAAATAAATATATTTTTAAAATATACTAAATAAGGAAACAGGGGTTTAAATGGTGATAATATTTTACAATATTACTGCTTTACTGTATTTTTCATCAAATAATTGTAGCCTTCATGAGCATAAGAGACTTCTTTCAAAAACTTTTTTTCATTAACTTTACCTCGTATCAATACTGAAGCCACGGGCTTTGGCACTGTCGATTAGCTGATTGAAGAACTCCTGTTTGGGTGGTGGGTGATGACGCAGAAGAGCTTGATGTGGAAAGCTCTCCTGTATCTTGCGTGCCACCCAGTGGTTGGCGAAGATCATGCACTCAGCCACAGTCTCATGGACCTCCAGAGGTTGTTTGGGCACAAGGGCTGTAATGTTCTTATCTTCATCCAGCTGAGCCCTAACCTCCACCCCCTCCAACTCCAGGGCACCACCCTTATCTCTCTGTGCCCGGAGGTGCCTGGCTACCCTCGTCAGAGTCTCCAGGGCCAGCAAGAGCTCAGCCAGTTTCTGGTCCCGCTGCGAACTCTTAAGCTGGCCTAGCTCAGGCACCTCGACCTCCTCGCCATTCAGAAGGCTCTGGGCCAGCTCATAGTAAAGCTGATACGAGGAGCGAATAAGAGTGCGACCGTACCAAACCGTACACAGATTCAGAGACTCAGCATCCAGCTCCCACAGCACACTCATGGCATATCTAGAACAAATTACAGAGCGATTACTTTGTTATTTCTCATTAAAGTCACAGAATACAGACAGGAAATCCACAGATTCCAGCTGCATATTAGGGCCACTTTCAAAGTGTCAAATAGCAGGGAAAGGTTTGTGTGTTACTCACCGGTCAACTCCTCCAAGGAGGGAGCACAGGTCAGCACTCAACACCGCTGGCAGCATGTCATACCTCCGGTCAGCAAGGTAGTAAGTGGTTGCCCTGTGTTTAGAAAAGAGAGCTGATTCACACCTGGTGGGATTTTAAATCTGGGGACCTAAACCAAAAATCAACTTGCACTGCTGTTCCAAAGTTCAGGGTCATTTTACTAACCCCAGTGTACAGTGTGGTAGTGTATGCAACTTATTTAATTGTTTGGACTAGTTACCATTATGTTATATGCTATTAAAATATTTATAAATGTACATTCACCATAGATATATGATAAACATATGAATCATTATTATTATTCATTAGTGTGACAAAAAACAATAATAGACTCCATCAATTCTTATATGTTGATATAATATATATTGAATAACTGGCAAATCTCCATACCTGGACCGTGCCTCTAGGTCTGTAAGAGAGCCCTCCTTGACAAAGTGAGTGACATCAGCAATGTGGACACCCAGCTCTAAACGTTTCCCCCCAGGTAAAATCCGTACAGACAAGGTGTCATCCACGTCCTCACAGCCCTTAGGATCGATACTGAACACTAGATGTGTCTCTCTCAGGTCCCGTCGAGATGACACCTCACTGCTGTCCATCTGCCAAGGGTTCTCGTCTGTGTTAACCGGCATCTCTCGCAACTAAATAGACATTCAAAAACAATGATTTTTTGGAATACACCTTTCTGCAAGGTCTACTATTGGGGATACTATTACTATTTTAATAGGTCAAAATCACAATTTATACATTTGAAATGACTTAACTAAACTGCTGACACTATGACCTCACCTGTGCCTCTGAGAATGGTGGCACATGGATGCAGTTCTCCACCAGAATGGTCTGAATCTCAGTCTCCAGCTCACCTGCTTTCCCCAGAACCCTCACACAATGACCATTTGGGTAGACAGAAGTACTCTCCCATGAATCCAGACGCACAATTACTCTTTGGTCCTACACAGCATGCCAGATGAACAAAACTTATTCTACCATTCAGAAATTTGGGGTTAGTAAGATTTTTAAATGTTTTTGAAAAAAGTCTCTCACCAGTTGTGCTTTTTTTTATAGCATTATAATTATCTTTACTGACACTTTTTTTTTAACAATTTAATCCTTGCTAAATAAAAGTATTAATTTCTAGTTCTTCAGTCATTCATTTCTAATTTCAGGAGTGTGAATTTCAGTCTAAAAAAGGTGTAAGTGTTAACAAAGGGTGTCAATAACAATGATATAAACATAATTTTACACTTGCTGCAACAAGATCTACTAATCTAGCCTTTATGCGTTTAAAATACTGAATCATATGTCCACCTGCAGTGCCTCAGCCTGCTGTGTGCTGATACGGATTTTAGGTATGCGGTAGTCCCACGGAATGACCAGAATCTTCTGTGAATTTCGGCTCTGGGACTGCACCTCCTCGAGAGGGGGAAATGTCACAACGTAGTCTCTCCAGTTCCTCTGCAGAATACCCACCACCCGGCCTACAGAAAAGAGAGGAGAGAGTAAAAAAACAGCCACAACCTATGCAGCTATCAATCTGCAGTGAGGTTCAAAAACCTCAAACACACGAGAATTAGTCAAACACACGAGAATTAGTGATTAAAAAGTGTTATGATATCTAAATCTGTGTAGTTCTGTCATAAATGCAGTTTACATAATATGATGCGGTAACAATTCAACACGGTTTCCCATCCACTGTAAAATTTGGGCTTATTTATTTATTTTATTAAATTCCTTTTACGTACCTAAATGGCATGAGACTGTGTGACTTTTCATTCTCTTGCTATGCTTCCTACTTCAGTGCAATAAAATTTGTTATAATATTCATTTTATAATAAATCCAAAAGCAAAGCACAAGAAGAACTATAAAAAGGAGTGATGAATGGTCCTCTACTTCTATCTACTGGTTATATTGGTAATTTCATGTAATTTTTTAAGTGTGTTTGTTTTCCATCAGGTGATAGAAATCCTGGCATATTGCCCATGTTATCTCCATGAATTGAAATGAGAAATGTAGATCTTCTTTAAAGTATACTTACTGCAAAAATGTAGATTTTAGAAAAATAAGCGTTGAAAACATAACGCGTGTTGGAAAAGGTGTTTTAATATTTTACATTTTGCCAATCTAGACCATTACAGTAATATAAGGTTTGTCTATATTAATGAATATTAGCTTGTTATTTAAAATGATTAGAAATTAATTCAGTATTCAGGGATTGACTTGATACAGTAGGTGTGTAAATGTACTTAGTACAAATCTGTCTTTACAACTTTCACTTGTAATGGAGTAATATTTGACCACTAATATCTGTACTTTCAGTTCAGTAATAAAGTTGTTTACTTTGCCCACCTCTGCTTATGTTTACCTGTGGGCAAGGGCTGACTCTGGGTGTCCTCTTGTGCCCGCTCCTCCCCCTGACCTTCTGTAAGCGCCATAGTCCTGCCCTTCCACTCATTACGGGGTAACAGCTCTATGACAACCACATCTCCATGCACCGCCCGGTTACGATGCTTTGCTCCACTGATCAGCACATCACTGTTTAGCTCTAACAACACAGGATCACACAGGTAGGGTCAAAGGTAAAATATCATTAAACCATCAATATATGTCAATAATCAGAAAAGATTTAACAACCTGTGTTTTTGCTGGCTGAACCCTCATAACGGACAAAGGCTTCATGCTGCGCTCGATGTTTGTTCACACTGAGGTTGCCCTTAAAAGGGGAGAGAACTGGTTGGAATAGATCCACCAAAATAAAAGAGATATCTCTGAGAGGCACTTACCTGGATGTACCTTCCAGATTTTATACCAGCCTCCAGCACCTCCGCAGGCAGGTGTTCAGAGTACACCTTCTCTGCTCCCACACTCTCTCGCTCTTGAAGGGTCTGAGCAATGGAGATGTACAGATCATGGGCGGCCTGCAGGTCCGGACAGAAACTTAACAGGTACTCCTACAATAGAGTTCACTGGTGTTAGAACAGTTGAGTTCACTCATGCACTTAAGAAAAAAAAATCTGGATTACTTTGTGAAATGCAGAACAGTCTAATCCCAGCTCTTCACACTTTGTTACAAATGAAAAAATATGTATGGTAAATGTATTATGATAAGCCAGTCATTATCACAAAATAAACTCTGACAGCTTGATCATACATAATCCTAGATAAAATAAATGGACATTATTTTTTATTATGTGAAAAAAGCAGATTGCAATCATATGACAAATGTGAAACTAGCACAACGATTCAGGGAATTGGTTTCCTGGCTAAGACAAAAGTCAGTTATAAGATGTAGTGGTCATTAAACATATCTGACTCCAGAAAGATACTTCAAATCCAACACTACAGATTTGACAGAAAATAAAATAATACAACATACCTGAGTTGAGATGACATAGACTCCACTGTTTAAGGCACTATATTCTGAAATAGTGTTACTATCTTCGGTAATCATGACCACTGGGCGGAGTCCAGCCAGATGATTATAGTACCAAACTGCTGCATTATACACTTTTCTGGAAGAATCAACATCATGTTCACAGATAACAGTGCCTTGTGGAAGCAACTTTACTTCTTAATAAGGTTTCATATAAAAATTGCACTGCATACTACCATTGTTTATTGAAAATCAAAGTGCATCACACATTAGAGAGGAGATTGACACAAATTAATACTCTATTTCTCTATAGTCTATTAATACTCTCTTTTCTCAAAGTACAATACATAAAAGAAAGTGTAATAATGGATAGATTAGTCAGGACTCACCTCGTTTGCCATTTGTCCTGAGACTCACCCTTGTCTCTGGGGCAGTATGAATACTGCTGAAACTCATTGGCAAACATCACACAATCGTGGCGAGGGTCCTTCAGTAAAGCACTCAGTCTGTTATAGTGCCTGTACAAGACAAAACAAAATGCATCTATAAAAGCAACCTTTAAAAGTAGTCCTTCTAATTTTTCTGAAGGAATTTTCTTTTTTTATTCACATACGACAAGTGAATGAAAAATGCACAATGTGTGAAAGTAAATTAAAGTAAAACCAATGACAAAAAAATGGTATTTGAGAGGTCAACCTGCGTCCACGAGTGTGCTGAACAGTCTGGTACGCTGTCTGGGTCAAAACGATCCCCTGCAGCTCCCTGAACTCCAGTATCTCCAGAAAATCCCGAACCACTCCCACATCCGGAACCACATAGTGGGTCACGTCACTAGACAGAACCTTCCCAACTGTTGGACCACAAAATGGTCGATATCATATTGTAAACCATTATAGTATTATCTAAATTGTAAACACAATATGAAAATACATTACACATAGAACAAATTTATTGCAGGATGAATTACCTAACAAAATTATTTCTCACCAAAACATCAGATAGTAAATCACTGATAATTAGTGTTTTTGGGTGAAGAAGTGTTGCAACTTCCACAAACAAGATTTGTGACGTTTGCTTAATTACTACGCTACAAAATACAAATCAACTTTAGGTTCGTACTAAACTAATATGGATTGGTAAAGATCTGACATTACTTCAGGGGGCGTGACGTATCACATTTAGTCACCAGAAATGATGCACTGTACTAAGACTTTCAGAATCATTGTAAGTTAACATTTCCTAAAGCTATAGTTCAGTGTAGTAGAAGGTAAAGACCTCGTATTTTAATATGATCTCTTATTAGTATACTGATGCGTTCTCTATAATAAAAAATAAGTAAAATCAACTACACAATTCATGTTGTTGTTGTTTTTATTGTTTGGCTGTCTCATGCTCCTCTTCTTACCGTTGTGACAGTTCGCTTGACAGAAGGAGCTTCCACACGGCACCTGTTCCCTCACATAATGCTCCCGAACCACTCGGACCTTTCTACCCTTTGAGCTGTTCAAATGTAAAACCTTCTCGGTTTTAATCAAGACCGGATTGTGCATAATAATCGATATTAATCTACAGTTTGAGGTAAAGTTAGCATTCAAAAACACCAGTCAGTCTTCTTTGCTGTTTAACATCAAGATGAGTTTCTCATTTTCTAAATGAATCTGCGCCATCTACAGGACTGGAAGACGAGTATTCAGTCACAGAGACACATTTATTTTATAACATTTTTATTATTTATAGTAATCTGAGAACAGTCATGTTAATTCTCTATTACGTTTTTGTAAACTATAAAAATTCTTCAAATGTTATAGGCTCAGAAGAAAGGTATTACACCATGTGTCAGAAAATTCTTCCCCCAGTTAACTGACATAAACTTGATCTTCTATAAAACTTAGTGTACAAGTTGTGTCATAATGCTGGTCATTTCACACCATCTTGCTTATAGCAACATTCAGAAATGAAGTTTGGTTTTGACATGATACAATAACGTTTAGTCATAGAAAACAATCTTGTTGACTTTAAAATCAGCGAACAATTAGGAAAAAAAGCAGACATAGAATCCAATGCTTTCCAATTTCAAAAAACCTGCCCATTATAGAAATTTTCTTCAGTATTACACAAACCTTCAACCTTAAGTTTTAAGATAAGATCTGTCAAGACAAGTTAATTTAGATTTTTCCCCAAATTCGTATTACAGAAGCAAATCTTAACTTGATTTAGGATTCTTATCCTATTTTACAAAATCTCATCTGTAGTTAAGAAATCTAAAATAAAATAGGTGTGTTTTTAAATAAGTGCTCCAAATGAGAAGGTTTTAAAAGCTTGGTAGGAAAGGCAAAGCCTATCACTATATTTCATGGGAGGCTGTCATTATTTATCAGTGCTTTGTCGTCAAAGTGCAGCACATCATTTGGGTGTTCAAAAAGTCTTTCAAACATCACTGTTTGTTATTCATCTTGTATCATTAATATGACTCCATTCTCAGACATGGCAATTGTAATGCGATTTTTACAGTGTGCTTTCCAATCATTTTGAAGTAGGACACCAGGTTGTGCTAAAGTGAACACAGTTTTTAGGGTTTTTTGAGTTAGAATGCTTCAGTAATACCCTTTTCCTAACCGTAGTTAAGATAAGATTATGCACACGAAATATCATTCTGCAGCTTTTATCCTAAATGGGATCAAATTACCAAACAGAGATCTTTCTGTAATATGCCCCAACATTTTGGTTCCTCAACACATCCAAACAGAAGACACTACTTAAAATTAAAAACACGTTGATTTGGCAAATAACTTTAAAAATTACAATCATTTCTTAATTATCCTTTTGTCTTCACATGCGTGCAACCCTAAATAAAGAGTCTTTGGTAACAGAGATTTGTTCTTATTGCGCCCGTCCCTGCGGAAAGTTGGTCATCTGGATGCTGTCTCCTTGTAGTCCTGGATTGTAGTAACCAAGCCCATCAAACTTCAGGTTTAGTGGTGGCTCACTGTTATCCAGTCGGAGAACTTTGAAAGGATGAGACAAAACAATTTAAATAACATCATGGAGGAAAAAACGATTCAGTAGTTCATAGAAGCCCTCACATATATTCGAATGGATCTCGGTTCAAAGTGATGCAAATGCTGACAGGAAAGTTTTATATTACCTGGATCAGGTGATGTCTCTTCCACCAGTTTTCTGTGTGAAAAGTCTCTTCTATTCCTTCGATTCAGGATGATAAATGCTGCCAAGGCAATGATCCCCACAACAATCCCAACGGCTAGGACGATAGCCCATGCCTGCTCTTTCTTGTTTTCAGTAGCAGTTGTAATATCTGAGGATAAACCTGTAAAGACATATTACATGTTTATTAACAAAGACACTAACTTCTCCATCCAAAGATTAGAGAACAGAGTGGTACAGTATGTGGTTGCCTTTAACATGGAGTTCCTTGTTTAACAATGTGAATGGAATCAACACCATAGGGGTTGCTATCTAAAAGCTTTTTATAAGCTAATTATTCTTCAACAGGTCAAACACACAAAATCTAAATATATATAATTATTCTGGATATGTAAATAGCCTATAACCTGTTCTTTTAAGTTTAGGATGCGGTTTGGACACAAATTGGTCGGAGTTACACGAAGAGATAATGGGATTTGTTCTTCGATGTCAGGTTTTCTGTGTCACATTGGTCCACGCCTGACCCCGAAAGGAGCCCTTCCCAATATCTGTGGGGTGAGCACCACTCTTATTGTGAGGGAAGGTGAGGTGTCAGTAACTAGACACTCTGGCCCAGAGCAGAGGACAAACAAAGCCCGAAACCCAATCCAACACAGAGGAACAGCAAATATGGCTTTTATGACTGAATTGAGAAGCTGAGAATAAAGGTTAGCTTGAGGGATGAAATTAAAAGATTTGTGATTTTTGTGAACTACAGATATATAAAAGGTCAAAACACTATCAGTGTCCCAGATTTGCAGTGCGCTTTGTATTCATAGTAGTTATATACACTACTGTTCAACGGTTTTGGGTCAGTAAGATGTTGTTGAATGAAGTCTCCTGAGGCTCCATTTATTTGATCCACAATAAAAACAGTAAAGTATAAACAGAAATATTGTTAAATATTATTAGAATTTAAAATATTTTAATATATTTTAAAATGTAATTTATGATGCAAAGCTGTATTTTCAGCATCATTACTCCAGTCTGATGATCACATGATCCTCCAGAAATCACTTTTTGCTGATTTGCTGCTCAATAAAGAATTTTTCGGATTAGAGATTTTTTGTAACATTATAAAGGCCTTTACTGTCACTTCTGATCAATAGAATTTGTCCTTAGTGAATAAAGGTATTCATTTCTTTAAAAAAAAAAAAAAGATATTACTGGTATTGTTATTACAAGTATCTCATGACAGAACTCTTCGGTCGGCCATCAAATGAAGCTTGCTCTTATAAACACTGATTATTAATGCTTGATTGGTGCTGATTTGTGAGTCTAACCTCTTTCAGAGTTATCTTTGTTGTCAAAAGGTCCAGTCAGGTTTGCTCCTGCGTCCTCAGTGTCTACGGCAGGTGTTGTGATGTCCTCAGGGATGGCAGGTGGAATCACTGGTGTTGTTGTTCCGTTTACTGGTGGTTCAGTTGGACTCACTGTAGTTTTGTTCTGGACGTTCACATCTTTGGTTGTGGTGGCTGGACTATTAGTGGTGCTGTTGGTAGGTACACCGTCTGAGGGCAAATATCCAGAACCCGTTTCGTCAACACTGCTCTCTGTTGTGGTAGTCTCGGGTTTTGGAATGGTAAATGTGTCATTAAGAGCAGATTCATTTGATTGCTCCGGCTCTGGTGTGGAGGTATTTGTAGCTGTCTCCTGGGTCTGTGTTTCATTGGATTCCGATGAAGATTCTGAGGGCTCAGCAGAACTTGAATTAAGTGCAATCATAGGAGGTGGCGTTGTAAAAAGGGGTCCTCCAGAACTGGCTTCCTCTGTGTCATTGTCCATGTGATCAGGGATTTGATCCAGTTCTGTGGAATTCTGCCTTTGTTCATCTCCTCCAGTAAAAAAAACTGAGCCAAATGATTGTCCTTCTTCTACTGAACTGCTCCCCATACTTTCTCCCATTGGAACAGGTGGTTTCTCACTAGACGACTGTGTTTCGTTGTTGTCCATTGCCCCATCATCTCTTTCCCACTCCTCCGGTATCTCAGTGGACACTTGTTGGAATGTCTGAAGTATCAAGAGGAGCGCAAGTGTGATGCCCTGTGGCAATTTCATGTTGGGTTCTTCTACCTGCCAAAATGAGACACATTACTTGTGTGTATAGTGAATGTGCATATTACAGAAAACACTTTGGTTTCACTTAGCATAAATTCTCAAGACCAACTGCGAAAAAAAGATCAACAATGTTCCACTTTTTTAAATGTGACAAAAGTACAGTACATTGCCGCTATAAATGCCGGCAATCATCAAAAGGCGAATTCTCATAAGATTAATCAACATTTGGGAAAAGAAGCAAATCCTAAGATGTTTCTCCTCTTCAAAATGAAAGTGTTCTTAAGTCTTTATTTCTCAGAAACCTCTGTTTAGCAGCCCTTTGTTCCACTCCAACGAGTCCCTTTCACTGAAGTGTATCTAAGCCCTCTTGATGCAAGTGTAATGCACACCATTCAACCATTTCACTGCATTGTATCAACAGGAGGTGAGCACACAATATTCTGTATTCTGTGTCTGGTATACAAATTACACACCCAAACTATATTTAGATATATTTTGAGTGAGATTATAACAAAACAAAGGACAAAGTGACTCTCACACATATACTTGTATAAATACTGTGTGTTTTGTTATTTTTTTGTATATTGATGAAATGAGAAGTGGCATAATGTCGTTAATTGATATCTATATTTTATTTTAATGTGTTGTTGAACAGACACACCCACACTTAACATGTGACTTACTGGGTAACAACTTCTATCACGTTGTGACGTCATTGCTTTTCCTGTTTGGCCAGTTTACCACCAACAAAACTAATTAGTAGTGACAATATTACAGAAATAAAATGGAAAGAGTATTTGGGGTTCACATTAGTGACCTTTTTGTGTGTATTTATTTTATACAACATTTAATCTGTATGTCATATACCAGATGCTGATTAGTGGCATAATTATTTTTCTTATATTATAAAGTTGTTGTAGAAATTATTTATAACATGTCTTTGTTCATAATTTGGACAATGGTCAATATATGAAGTACTCTACATTGTCAATTATTATTATATTTGATAATATAACAATAACTGCAATATTTCGGAGGCAATATGATGTCAACTCTGAAAAGTTGAAAGTTTGTCAACGAAAATTTTGTCAATTCTGCCCTCCCCCTCCCCTCCTAAACTAATAATAATAATTAAAGTACATGTCCAATAAATTAGAAATGTAAAACAACAACATTTTATACTTCTATTTCCCTCCTTAAAACATCCTGGATACAAATTTATATTTCTAAAAATAATCTTGGAATGTGCCAAAACAGGTTTAGCTCTGAGTATGTGGCATCTCTTTTGTTGAAGTTTAATGCAGGATTAAAGAATAGTCAATAACACAATGTACCGAGAAGAAATGTATTAGGCAAATGTGTTAATATTGTTTAAAGAATACATTTTTGCTTCATTTATTAATTAGAGGTTCATCAGTGCATTCAGAAAAACTACTAATATGTCTAATTTTTCTAATGGTTTTTAGGTGTCATGTCAAACCTCCCAATGGTAATTTATTATTAGTTATTTAATCCTAATGATTTCCTTTGATGGATCAGAATTTCAGTAGCCTTCATTCCACTGTCATCTAATACCTATTCTCCATTTTACACCAAACTAGCCCAGTCGAATGTGAAACTAGCTCATTCCTCAATAGATTTCTATGTATTTAAAATTAAAACTGTGTACCTTACCTGAGTGCTGCCTGCTGGGCTCGGGTGAGATGATCGAGGTTAAAATAGAATCGTTTGAGAGTTCAGAGTCTGTGCATCCAGATACAAATGGCAAGGGGAGGGCTCTGTCTCGCTTGTGGCTATCAGGAAACTGGCCTTTCCTGAATTTTCACCTGTAAACCACACCTTCCTGCATGCAAACAGACAAATAAAGCATTGATGTGCGTCAGCTGTAACAATGACTTAAGTTGAATGTCAATCTCCAGTCAGACGTCAGTTATACATACGTCATTACTAAACACGGGTTTATCCAGGAGGTGAATTTTGAAGACTTTGAGCAAGTGAAATTCCCTGGAGGGAAGAGCACCTGACACGCTGGCGGGCCTCTGAGCATTCCTCCCATGCCCTGTGTCCATGGCAACCCATAGGTTGCTTAGATCTGCTTTCATCCGCCCCATACCTTTGACAAAATGACAAAATGTCATCCATGACAAAAGACACATGCTATTTTTACATAACCGATTACCTTAAAGGCGTATTTGTGGTAGTGGGGTCAAATTCTGCATTTTTACAATGTCATGCTGATGGTGAAACTTTTAGGCATGTCTTTATGTTGGATATAGAGATATGTTTCCAGTGTTTAATCATGGGCCTGTGGACAACTTGTGAAATATCATTAGAATGACAGTGTTCAAACTGGCCAGATGATTTGTACTTCCCATATTTGCCCAGCAGAGGGTGTTCTTGCATTAAATGTGGTCATTTCAGTTGCGAATTATTGTATTAAGTTACTAAAATTATAAGGCCAAAAAAATGATAGATGACATTACTTTAATAAAGCATATTAAAAGACCCCCCCCCCTCCCAGATTATCCTTCTTTATTCTCAGTATTATGAGATAAGATTCCCTATCTCAATAAAAATGCTGACCTGCTGTAAGAATGGAATCAGTATAGCTACTGATTTGCATAATATGCCATTGTTTTTTTTGTTTTTGTTTTTCAGAAACAGCGTGTTTATTAATTTATGGAGTTACTTTATAGGTCTTTAATTTGCAATATGTTGAAAATGTCCTTTTTGTAAAGATTTTTTATTTCATTTTAGTTAAAATATTAAAAAAAGTATAAAGAAAAAGTAACAATGTGGGGCAATTTAATCAAGTCGTTCTAATTTGGGCCATTTACATTGATTTGGTCTAACTCAATTTGGGCCAATTGAATTAAATTGGTACAGCTCAATTAAAGAATTGAGTTTGTCCAACTCAATTTTGACCTTTAAGGCTCATTTACATCAAGAACGGTATCCACATACTGTTCATCCGATGATACCAGTGTGATGATACAAGCAACCAAACTCGCAACCTAACCTAACTGTTCTAAGCTGGCTTGATCATCTTAGCTGGTTTTAACTAGTTTAAGCTTGTTTCAGACTGGCTAAGGGTCCCTCTCAGTCTGACATGCTGAAAGGGGACCAAAACCCTTCTAAAACTAACCAACCAACCAAAACATCAGTATGAGCAGACAGAGACCAGGTAAAACCACCGAACCAAATGCTATTATATATTTTAGCATGAGCTGAATAATCTTTCATCTTTCCCATGTTTAAATGCTTATTATTAACTATCCCTTTAAACAAAATACATGTTGAAACATAATATTCAATATGTTTCTGCTTGTCTGAATTTGATATTCTTGTCAAATTCAGATGCTGTTTATTACAGAAAAGTCCCTGGAACTTTACAGTTGTTATATTACACATGGAAGGAATAACCAACATCACATTTACTTTATTTACTTTCATGACAATTTAAATTCTGTCCAAGCCTTTTCAATTTAACATTTGGGCATTGGAAAATGTTGTTTGCAGAAGGTTCCAATTCAAATGAATAAAATGAAATTGAGCCATAAACTGCCCCTGGAGAACAAAAGCTTGATGCCCATAGGCCACTACAGGGGCTTTGCATCATAAAGCTACAGTACACACACTTGTCATACTCTGACTTCACAGGAAGCACTGTATTTATGGAAAACTGAATAAAAGTAAATAAAATATAAATTGATCATTGCCATGACAACATGGTCCAATGCTCATCCAAGAAAACTATTAGATCAGAGAAAGCTTACAAGTTTTATTTTTTTAAATGTATTTGGGGCCTCCTGAGGTGAACTGTATTTGACTGGAGCAATATGATGGATGCTGAGGTAACAGTCTTACGTAGTGACAGTTTCAAATGTGAATAATTACAATACTACATGAAAAATGATTAGCATCTGGACACTGAGAAAGTACGAACATCATGTCCTTGAATGTTTTATTATACTGCAAGAAGAAAGCCAAAAAATTAAAGCCAATAAAAAAGCCAATAAATCTTTTTTTTATTCAGACAGTGAAGGGAATGTTTAATGTTAATTTCTTATGACAGCGAAACGGTTATGAAATTATCAATTATAGTAATAATATATATTGAAAATCTATAATACATATTTTTAAAGCATATGCTCAATGCTCATTTACAAAAAAAACAACAACAAATACAATTTTAAAAATATAAATGAAAATTATTATTATTCCCTGAAAATCCATGTAACAGTCATTGTCAAAAAAATAAAAAATAAAACAAAAAAAAAAAACCCTCTGATTGGTAACAAACTGACAAAAAGGAAATATAGAAAACATTTTATTATGTACACTAGTGTATGCATCAATTACATGGAGAGATTATAAAGCTACAAACTGGCTGCACATATTTGTAGGGTTGAGACAAAATACATTGTCTGTTGCCCAACATGTGATTAAAGGAGACCAAACATACACTGATATATAGCTAAAGGTGTTACAGCTGAATCTTCTTGGCCAACCATAAGAACCCAAACTCAGTGACCACACAATTTTCCTTTTCTCCTCCCCTCTCTCTCCTAGGTTTTTTTCTCCCCACTTTTTTCAACATTTTCAGCAGCTGCTTTTCCGTTTATCACACTATTACATAAACCCTGGAAAAATGTGGGAGTGGAGCTCAACTTCCCAGTCAAAGACCATCTTAGATAAAGAATTATAATGATTAATATCCACTTAAAGTAAGAGGTTTTCTCTCCCTGTAGACATTTTGTGCATTATCACATAGGCTATGTGTAGAAATCAGATAATGTCTTCTGATATTAAAGCTTGTGCATTTGGGCTAATAAACTACTGAATGCTCTTATTTTTAAACAGTTAAATTGAATTGATAAAGCACTGACCTACATAACATAACCACCAGGTACTGTACATAATTCAACAACAATTTTTGATTTGCAGTTCTGGCAGCGATATTAACCTTAGATATGGTGAACACATGGAGATGGTTTCAAAACAGTCCTCGCTAGAACAAAACAAACACTGTGCAAACACTTCAGGGCATCTGGTGTGTGACTCAGAATAAGATCAGTGCTTAGAGCTACTCTTTTCCATGCCGACAATAAGAATCGTTCACCTCCTGGGCACATGTGGCTATTGGCCAGCACACAGAGAGAAAGCGAGAGCAGAAATGGATGAAGAAAAGAGAGAAAGAGAGAGAATCCAGACCTAAAATGCTTCCAGATTTGGCGGAAAGACAGAGAGAGATAATAAGAGAGAGACTTTCCTCAGACATGAGCTCAGCATCCTGCTTCACTGATGTTTCGCTGCTGATTGATGCCCCGAGGAGGCCAGAAACTGGCCTGTTGAGGACTTGAGAAAGTAAACTTGGAGAACCACTGCAGCTTAGATGTAGGGAATGTGAGATAAAACATTCCTTTGTGGTGATTTTTATTTTTATTTTTATTTTTGACTGGAGATCTAAAACTCTATCCATAAAAACACATCTCAAAAAACTAGGTCACTTGGACACATTTTTTTGTTTTCAGCTGGATTCTGCCAATTACAGAAGACACCAACTAATTACACAAACCATACAGTGACATAAAACTTGATATTACACTAATCAATGACAATTATGATAGCGATATATTAATGCTCACAGCCACACAAACACTCACAGATGTACTGTATATGAACATATGCATCATGCATGCAACGATGCATCTGGAGAATTGAAGTACTTGCAGATTTCCAATTCACAATGGGTTTTATATGCTAAGCAAGAACATCTCTGTATCTTTTCCATCTTTATTTCATTCAACCCTTCATCCATCATTCTGTCTCACAGTCCTGAATCACCTACTTTTGGTGCAGAATGTATGCTAATTATGCAAATGTAATTAGTAAGATGTGATTCTTAGTTAGACTAGTACATATCCTTCTGATTTTCCTCCACTACAGCAGATTCATATTTGGAACTTATATATTATCTGTAGATCTGTCAGCTCCTTACATTTGTAAGAGGATTTACGGTCAAAGACCCAGAACCAGATATGAGGAATGATGACCCAGAGTCAAGAGTATTAGAAGAAGATAGAAGATTTGTAGTTTCACCAGCTGAAGTCAGCTTCAAGACTCACAAGGAGTTTGTAGGCCGCCCCGTTTACAGTAACAAAGATCACAGCAATTATACCCCACACCAAGGTCTAAGCTACGTCTTTGCTTTAGGTTGAATGGTTCTAACACAGTCTCGTCCCAAGACGTCATACAACTGACGCTTTTGACCATACGTCAACATCCGCCGTTTTAGGGTACCCTTAAACGCCAGTTAGATGATGATCCTGGGGCGTCATCCAACTGACGGTTTACCTTTAACGTCAGTTAGGTGACGGGGTAGGGTTAGGATTAGATAACGTCATCTAACTGACGTTTAAGGGTACCCTAAAACGGCGGATGTTGACGTATGGTCAAAAGCGTCAGTTGCATGACGTCTTGGGATGAGACTGCGCTGATGGTTTAGGTTTTCATTGTCTATAAGAAATAGAAAAACATAGTAATTTTCCACACATAGACAGATTTGCTGGGCGGTTGCTGGGCGGTTGCTGGGCGCGAGCCTGTCCCGAACAACAAGTCAGTCAATCTCCAATAATGCCAATGTACTTGTAACCAAGAATACTGACACACATGCACAGACACACAGCTTCTTCAAGGTTGTATTTGGCCAGGCTCTATCAACAGGAGACTCTTCTCAAAACATCAAGATAATATGTTTTTTCTCTTAGTGAGAGGAC